TCCATCAATGGATGTAGCTGTGATTGATTGGAAGGATTCGAAGTTCGAAAAGGACATACTTTATGAAGACATTAACGCTCCTCAATGGATTGATTTCTCCAGTCATGATCCTCCTGTTGATGATGAAGCTCGGGGCATTCACAAAGCGCCGTTGAATTTTAGGGTTTTGTTTCTAGGGTTCCTTTCTTCTTTCTTTTCTTTTATGGGTTTCTTGATGTATTGAGTGATGTCGATGGCAACACACAATCGGAAAGCTTCTGGAACGACGTCGTCACTTGCAAAGCGACAGACATCATGTTGTAATCTTAATGTGTTTCACTTTCAGTTCAAGAAGGATTATTTGGGTAACCCTTTTTATTCCATTATTGCTTTTTTGATCGTTAAATTTGGATGCAGGCCCGAGAAGCTGTAATTGTAGCTGCACATGGAAAAATGGTAGATTTCCAAAGAAGAAAGAGTAATTCTTATATCTTTTATCACTACCCTTATGGGCATTGTCTACCAGAAAAGCTTCATAGTTAGCTTCATAAGGTCCATTAGCGTACTCTTCCAAGGTCTCTGGCTCATTGTCATGGGTTTCATGCTTTGGACTAGAAGCTTGATTCCGAAATTAGTAGAGAAGCAAACCAAAGGGAATAAGCAGTGATCTTTAATTTCCAAAAACCAGGAATATAACAAGAAAATGCAATAGAATATAAAAGAATTCTATTAAAATTCTGATGAAAATGCCCTTGTATGAGCGTCCGGAACAGCGACATGAAGCGGATAAGCTCAATGAAAAGAATACCATCAACAATGTGACCAAAATACCCCTTGGACAAATACGCATAATTAAAATGACAGGCTCCAGCATTCCTTATCTTCTTTAAATCAATATCACTCATATCAAAATACTTGTGATTAGTCTGGTGTCTTCTGGTTATTCCGCTGAAATTTCAATTTTTACAAAATGACGAATATACCCTTTAAGCCATTTCTTGAATAACCCTTTTTTGTTAATGTGTGGTTGATAAATATTACTTTCAAAGGTCAAACTTTCACAGTTTGTGAATTTAGTATTTTTTTTATCATTGCTATATAGTTTTTTACTAATTATTATTTTTACACCATGTATTCCAGGCATGTAAAAAACTCAACCAAATCGAGCTCTCTTATTGTGAGATTTATGCCTCTTGTGAGCCCTGTCCTATGTGCTTTGGTGCCATTCATCTTTCAAGAATCAAGGTGCATTTTCCTCTCTAATCCAAATGACATCTTTACCCTTTTGTCTAAAAATGAGAGTAAAGGTACAACACTACAACCTTTTACGTTCTGCTTTAACAAGGAGTGTAAATGACCATTTTACCCCTAAAATCCAAAAACATATCCGTTATTTAGTTTATTTATGTGAATGCAGAGGTTGGTTTATAGGGCAAAAGCATAAGCAGCAATTGCAATTGAGTTTGATGATTTCATTGTAGATGCATTAAGAGGCACTGGATTTTATCAAAAGGCTCATATGGAGATTAAAAAGGCAGATGGAAATGGAGCAGTTATTGCTGAACAAGTATTTAAAAACACCAAAACCAAATTCTCCATGTATTGATTTCATTTCATACATTTTAACATTTCACATTTTCAACATTATTATTATTTCTCCATTTTTCTCAACAATTGATTACAGAATCTCAAGTTTTCTTTCATTAGACACTTCTTTCTAAAAGTCAAGCTGTTGTTCAAAAGAATCCATTTCTTTCTAAAAGTCAATCCGTTGTTCTTTCTTTATAATTTTTTTTTTCAATTGACTGACAGTAAATGAAAGAATAGTTGATTAATTACAATATGTATTTATACTAATTATAATGCAATTAAATCCTTGTGGTATTCATATTTGGATTTCCATGTGAAAAAAATTGCACTTAACATTCATACCTAATGTAGATTGGAACCATTCCTTCAATTTTCAGTAGAGTTTTCCTATGTTCTTACATCATTGACACCATCTCTCTCTCTCTCTGTGTGTGTGTGTGTGTGTGGCTATTTCTGTATGACCAAGGGGCAAAATGGTCATTTTTTAATCAAAGTATGTTGGGTTGGGTAAATGATATTAATTCCATGTAGTATCATATATTATATTAAATGAAAATAATTTAATGTTCTTTTTGGTCGGATGATTTTGGGTTCAATCATATTCTGGGGGTTTATATTGGCCAACATGTGGTCCATTGTTGGGTTGGTGATGGAAAAGCAAGAAGGTAATAAAACTGTTTACAATATGAAGCATTAAGCACTCAGAATTGATCCTGGACCGGGGACGAATCGAACCGCATACCGTTAGTAGGTCCGATGATGGTTCTTCAATATAATGAATTTCGGTCCTTCGGTTTTCGATTTGATTCCAAGGAAAATCGGAAAACCTACATGTAAGAACGTTTGTATTCCATGATAGAATTATTGATTTCCATACCTTAATTATACGTGATATATAGGTTAATTAACTTAAATTGGAATGATATATGTTTCTTTTATATTTGCTATATTACTATTGTCTCACTTTGACATGTAAATTAACTTAAAGTTGAAAATAAGAAAGATAATTTTATAAAAGGCAATATATATTCGAATTTTTAATCCATGACTTCTTTGACTATTTTTGTTTATAATGAGCTTCTTGGAAACTCAAAAAACAGTGTAGAATTATCCTTTGTAAATTTCTTAAAATCAATATTTTTATTATTTTATCTCATCATGATTTCGGTTTAATTGTAGGTCGTTGTATTCTACAAGTAGGACTAGCAGGCAACATCATTAAAAAAGAAGCATGACAAAAGTCCAAACGTTGCTCCAGACAACTTCAAAGCAATTGTTGTAATCCTAAAGACTTTTCTATTTATTTTATCTCAGGTAGTAAAAGTCTCTTCTTTTACTCTGTTTTTATAATCACACTAGGGAACACTTGCAAATGGGTCAAAATTCATACAAATATAAGAGGAAATGAGCCTTATAGTTGGTGGTTCCAACTTTGAGATGAAATCTTCTTTATAGTTCTCAATAGGGATTCAAATGGTAATACAAATCTGTATGAACTCATGTTATACTTGGTGACTTTGCAAGTAATTACTTAAGCAATATGCTTTCATTTCCACTCTTTTTACCAGATGTGCAAGCAATATGATTATTTAAGGATTACGCATTTACACCGTTGTACTATGACTAAATTGTTGTACATATTAGGTATATGGGTCGATATTACTAATTGTTCTGTGGTATTTGAAAAGATGTTATAATTTGTTTTAAGATGTTACTTTTTGTCTTGGATCAGGTATGCACATGTTTGGTTCGTTGATTTCCGACAGAATCCAATGGAATTAGAATGATGGATTCCATTCCATGGTTGGTTTTGGTTGCCAAATCGATGGAATTCAGTTCTGTCACCACTACGATTTTCATACAGGATGGATTTCAACATTTCTAAGGGTAGGTGGAATTTCAGGCGTTTTTGGTTGCCAAATGGATGTAATTCAATTTAAGCCTACATTTCAATTCAGTTTCATTTAATTTCATGTCGACTAAAATACCCTCATTATACATATATTTCAATATAAAAATGTTTTACATTTCAAGAGTAGTAAGTCAAATGTAATGATTAAAGATGGTGAATGTGTATTTTCTTGTGTTGTGTAGAGGATGTAAAAGATCGCAAATGGAAGAAAGTGATGACTATTAAAGATGGTGTTGATATATTTGTAGAGTTTGTGGCCGTGAGATTTGCTTCTTTCTTTTTTTACTTTTAGGAATCATGAGGTACTAGATTTCATGACACAGTCATCCGATGATATATTGTATCAAATGAACAAATGTTCTTTCCTTGAATAGTCTTAATTACGGTTAATGACAATTTTACCATTTTCTTTTATACTAATTGTACTTTCATTTTTTCCTTATTATGGCATCATATGTTATTATACCACTTTCTTCTTTAGTTATATCTCTGTGATGAATCCCACTTAGCATGACCCGAAATACTTTGAAAATTCATTGTAATAAACTTATTATTGATGTGAATGGTTCATGTTGCTATTGTTTTGAAAAAAAATACATTGACTTTTACTGTTTCTTGCTATAAAACAAAATAAGTTTATTTTTATTTATTTATGATTTTTTTTTAATTTTGGAAGATAATCTTAAAATAACAATTATACTTTGAATAAATTACATTGTTTTACCCAATTCTAACATTACTTTAAAAGTATGATGCTATTAGAAGGAAAATGGAATTTGTTTAGCAATTTAACTCTAAGTTGTTGAAAATGTTCAAAATGATTATTTTAACCGTATTCCAAATATGATAAAAAGTTAAAACATGATTGTCGATATCTATTTTTTCTTTTAAATAATGTCATTTTCATCCCTCTTATTAAACATGGTGTGCTTATGTTAATGTTTTAATGTGTATGTTACTGTGGTTGAGGTTTTTTTTTTTTTTTTTTTTTTTTTTTTTTTTTTTTTGGGGGGGGGGAGGAGGGGGGTTGGGGTGATCTTATTGCTACTTTTGAATTAATATGCATGTTAATAGCAACTTACTTTTTTTCTTTCTTTTTGAATTTAGGAAGGTTATAATTACTAACTTGACCATTCGTGTAGTGATTTTTGAGATGGACACTAACTTCATTTTTTCTATTTTCAAAATTATTGATGTACATTCTTAACTGTTTAGGTTATTTTACTTTGTCAATTGTATACCTTCTTACCTGTTTATGTTATTTTTCTGGTGTCGCAAATCAACACTAATATTTAGTGTTTTTGCATCTTGAGTGAGGATGCAAAGGAGGTTCGATAGATAGATGGGGGGTTAAACAAATGAAAGAGTAAAAAACTTGTATTAAAACAACACCGAATAGAACCAATATAAATCTTGGGTGCTCCTTACTACAAGAGATATGTGTTCCCCGCGTTTAACACACCTGTTATAATCTAGTTTAAATAAAAAAAGAAAAAAAAAATTAAGGAGTTTTATACAATGCAACGAGGAGATAGTTGGAGGCTGGAGCAATGCAAGAATGGCGGTCTTCATTTGAGATTCAAATGAATCATTTGAACTGTTCGATGATGGCATACAAATGAACTAGGGCTCAGACGCTCAGTCGCCTGAATTTCTCTCAAAAATCTTGCAAAAATGGCGTCAGGTGCCTCATGCTCCCGCGTTGATCAGGTTTGTTTTAATCGCTCTCCCCCAATCGTCAATCTCCCCAAAGCCATATTTTCTATGAAATATTCGATGGCAGTCAAACTCACTAACGGCAACTAATATCCGCAGCAATTAGGTTAAATTTAGAATGGATCTTCTGGGTAATTTAAATTTCATAAGTTCAAAAGTTTATAGCCCTGTTAGAAGATTGATTTTGTTTCATCCAATTTTGAAAATGCGAGCTATTCAGATTTGCTCTTATCTTTATTGCTCTTTCGTCAGTGAATATTGAGAATTTTAAGCTTGGTATGCAGTATGCTCATATTAATTTAAAATTATCTATGCAACACAACATGAATCTCCAAACAGAAGCACACCAGTCCATATCAGCAGCTGAATCTATCGACCATGGTTTTTCCCTGTTCTACAGAAGTAACAGAACCATGGAAACTAAAGCTTGGTGTGCTTTACTTATGCAGAATGGGGGTTGTATAGATAGTCACTTAATAGTTTTGATTAGCTGTTCATAAAAGTAAAAGAAGAAATCAGCTTACTTCATAATTGGTATTTCTTTTTCTAAAACCCTGAACTTGACAAAAGGTTTGATAGTCAACTTAAAGATGCCTGGTTTTGTTGACCAACACCAAAGTATGCACTTTGTTGGTTTTGCCTCTATTTGTTGTACCTCGTGAGTACACATTTTTTCCATGTATTGTACATAGTTATATTTTATAAGCAAAAAGTTGCATGTATTGGTTTCAACATTTTTTGTACACCTGGCACACCATTTCATCTCAGTGACCTTTTTTCTTCTTATAGTTTCATTCTATATTGAACTAGTTACATAATCATGTCAATACAAGGAACATCACACACATTCACATTTTCTTGAGGCATCTGTTTGTATAAGTTATATATAGTGGACTTTGAGTATGATTCAGAGCTGTCTTATTTAAGCTGTCTGCTTTTCAATTTCAGTTTATGTGCATATTAGTACATTAAAAAGGAAGAATACACTTTTCTTTGTATTTCCCTAACGTCCAATTTTTGGCATGTGTTGCTGAATTTATTACTATGTGCAGTTCTACTGTTCAAAGAAGAAGCATAAGTTTGTATCACCTCTTTTAAAACCAGGGTTAGTTGAACTTGAACAACAATCAAAACTTTCATTTGAAGGGTCTCCTAGCCCTAGGGATAAGTTTTCTTCATCCAGATATATAGCGTGTTCACAAAATGAAAATGGTTGTCATAGGCAAGATCAAGTAAGAAGAAACTTGATATCAGAGATAGAATCCTCTTTAAGAAATGAACATGTGGAAACCATATCATCTGTCCAGGGGCATCTTTCTAGACCACAAAGGGAGAATCTGGGATGTATAGTTGGAGGTCTGCAGTGTAATTCTTCAAATAAAAGACAGGGTAGTCCATCTGTGCTAGATTTGGAAGATAAATCGATCAAGAAGAGGCCTTTAAGTAGTTTTCGTTCATCTGACCATATCTCTAAATATGGAGAATTGTCTCACAATTCCAAAGAGGTAGACCATGTCATAACAACTATTTTGCAGCTTCACTACACTTTCTTTGAATAATGTGCTTTCTTTATCTTGCAGACTAATGTTGGTGGTAACAATTCAGTGCATGAATTGAGCTTGAGGAAATGCATTAGAACATCTATGGAAGCTGTTGATGTGACATCATGCAATACACCAAACCTGGCAGAAGTCAAAGTTGGAGCTGAAAAAACTCCTCAGTCAATGCGTGGAAGCTCCATTTTTTCACCAGGAGACGCGTTCTGGAAAGAGGCAATCCAGGTGGTTGATGATATGTCCTATCATAATGAAGATCTTCCTGAAAAGGTTGTTGAAGAATCCAAAGGATCTGAAAATGATGTATTGAATCAACCTAATCATAACAGAACATCTAATACAGACATCAGAACTTGTAATGTGAACATTCTTAAAAGTGTAGAAAGTACCTCATCAAGCTGCGTGGCTTCTAATGATTGTTTGGATATTGGGAATTGGCTCCCTTCAGAGTTATGCAACACATATAAGAGAAAGGGTATATCAAAACTGTATCCATGGCAGGTATTTCTCTAGTCTTTTTGGCTATCTGTATGTTTTTTCTAGTTTTTTTTTTTTTTTTACTTTTAAATCGATGTTAAATTGAGTTTCCATTTTCCAGGTAGACTGCCTTCAGGTGGATGGGGTGTTACAAAAAAGGAACCTTGTGTATTGTGCATCTACAAGGTACTTATCTTAAGATTTGTGCTGAATCTTTTCTACTTAATCACTTTTTCATAACCATTTGTTGTTTCTGGCATAGTGCTGGGAAAAGTTTTGTTGCAGAAATCTTGATGTTACGTAGAGTGCTGTCAACAAGAAAAGTTGCAATTCTTGTTCTTCCTTATGTCTCAATTTGTACAGAGAAGGTGCGACTATTGACTTACTTGTGTTGTGCATTGTATTTGTTGATAGTTGTATGTAAATATGTAATATGTATGTCCTTAAACTTGATTATTAGTCTTTAAGTGATGCAGACAGCACATCTTGAAGCCTTACTTGAACCAATTGGTGCACGTGTTCGTAGTTATTATGGAAGCCAAAGTGGTGGCACACTTCCTAAAGATACCTCTGTAGCTGTTTGCACAATCGAGAAGGCAAATTCACTACTCAACAGATTGCTGGAAGAGAGGCGTTTGTCAGAAGTTGGGATCATAGTAATTGATGAACTTCACATGGTACTTTGAATTTGGTATCTTTGAACATTATGATGCAAAAAATACATTCTTTTAATCATGTTGTTTGGCAGGTTGGAGATCAGCACAGGGGCTATCTCTTGGAACTTATGCTGACAAAACTTCGGTATGGAGCTGGTGACCCAACTCATGATCTTCAAATTGTTGGGATGAGTGCTACCTTGCCCAATGTTAGTGCTGTTGCTGATTGGCTTCAAGTAAGTTGTAGAAAACATTGGTCATGCATATCAAGAATCTGAAAACACTACCTTATTAAGTGGTTGAATGCTTTATATCTTGTTATTGAAATAAAATTAGTTTTTCAGGCAGCTTTATACCAGACAGATTTCCGACCTGTTCCACTTGAGGAGTATATCAAAGTTGGAAACTCAATTTATAACGAAAAGATGGAACTTGTCAAAACAATCTCAAAAAGATCTGATCTTGGTGGTAAAGATCCCGATCATATCATAGAATTATGCAACGAGGTACATTGTTTGATATATAAATTGAATTCTTATAAGTTATGAACCTGAATGTTTATACTTTATACATTGCATATTGTATTTAGGTTGTTCAAGAGGGTCATTCAGTGTTGATCTTTTGCTCCAGTCGTAAAGGATGTGAATCAACTGCTAGGCATGTTGCAAAGTACCTTAAGCAATTCCCTTTCAACACCTTCAATGGTGAAAGTGAATATCCTGATATTGCTTCTGCCATTGATGCATTGCAAAGATCTCCAGCAGGATTAGATCCTGTATTATCTGAAACACTTTCTTCAGGTGTTGCCTATCACCATGCTGGTCTCACAGTATGTATACTATTACACTCTTTTCCATTATTACTTAGGTTAGATTTTGAAGCTTTTGAGAAATTTCATTTCTGATTATTACTTACAGATTGAAGAAAGAGAAATTGTTGAAAACTGCTATCGTAAAGGTTTAGTACGTGTGTTAACTGCCACATCAACATTAGCAGCTGGAGTGAATCTTCCTGCAAGAAGAGTTATCTTCAGACAACCTCGTATTGGTCGTGATTTTTTAGATGGGACAAGATACAGACAAATGTCCGGGCGGGCGGGTCGCACCGGAATCGATACAAAAGGAGAAAGTGTATGTTGACTTTTTGACTTTACAAGCATGTTACTACTTGCTGCTTACTCGAGTGTTTGTGAAATTAGGTGTTAATATGCAAACCTGAAGAAGTGAAAAAAATTATGGAAGTGATTCATGAGTCGTGTCCACCATTGCATTCTTGTTTGTCAGAAGACAAGAATGGAATGACACATGCCATTTTGGAAGGTGTTGCTGGTGGAATTGTTCAAACTGCTAATGATATCCATCGATATGTTAGATGCACTCTTCTGAATTCAACACAACCATTTGAAGACGTTGTAAAATCAGCAAAAGATTCTCTCAAGTGGCTTTGTCATAGAAAGTTTCTTGAATGGAGTGAAGATACTAAGTTATATAGTTCCACACCTCTTGGCCTTGCTTCTTTTGGCAGCTCTCTTTGTCCTGAGGAGTCACTTGTATGCAACGCATTTTGACAATATATACATTTCTCTTATTTAACTCTAATATCTAATAATTAAAAAATATTATATATATATATATATATATATATATATATATATTGTTTGTAGATTGTGTTGGATGACCTTTCAAGGGCGAGAGCAGGATTTGTACTCTCATCAGATTTGCACTTGTTATACTTGGTGACACCAACTAATGTTGATGTTGAGCCAGATTGGGAATTGTACTATGAAAGATTCTTGCAACTCCCTGTTCTTGATCAAGTAAGCTTGTTGTTTTTTTTTTTTTTTTTATGTGTTTTTGGGTGAGATTTATATAACGGGTGGGCCCTTGTCCTTGTTGCAGTGTGTTGGAAACCGTGTTGGAGTGCAAGAAGCATTTTTGAGGAGAATGGCTCATGGAGCTACAATTCGCACTTCAGAAAGATCAAGGCATGATTTGAAAGGACTTGGGGTGTCAGTGTCAACCAATAACATCCTTACTGATGATCAAATGCTTCGTGTGTGTAAGAGATTCTATGTTGCACTCATCTTGTCAAGACTCATACAGGTTTCTAATGCTAACTTGCTAATCATCTTCTCAACACAATCTTGAATCTTGATTCTTTTTCATATTTCATTCATCTTTTTTGCACTATTTTTGAATGAATATATATGAATTATGAAGGAAGCACCTGTGATGGAGGTTTGTGAAGGTTTCAAGGTGGCACGTGGAATGGTTCAATCATTGCAAGAAAATGCTGGGAGGTTTGCATCTATGGTTTCAGTCTTTTGTGAAAGACTTGGTTGGCATGATTTAGAAAACTTGATTTCCAAGTTCCAAAATCGTGTTTCATTTGGTGTAAAAGCTGAGATTGCTGAGCTTACAACTATTCCATTTGTCAAGGTTTGGATTCTTATTACTTTTTTTTTTCAAAGTTTGATTTGAAATTACTTTTTATTTGTTTATTAATATGATTGTATGAATGTTTTGTAGGGTTTTAGAGCAAGGGTACTTTATAAAGCTGGATTGCGTACACCCCAAGCAATTGCTGAAGCATCCATACCTGAAGTTGTTAAAGCCATTTTTGAACCTTCAGATAAATTGGCACAAAGGCTTATTCAACTGGGAGTGGCTAAAAAGATAATGAATGGGGCCCGCAAAATTGTCCTTGAAAAAGCTGATGAAGCAAGGGCTGCTGCTTTTTCAGCTTATAAGGCTCTTGGAGTTGATGTTCCTCACTTTTCTGTGAAAGGAGGCGATATATACTCAAGAAGTGAGGTAATGAAGGGGGAAAAATCATCTAATGATAATGATATGGCCTTAAGTAAATCATGTGGTCATAACTCCGTGTCTTGCATTATTGATTGTGAAGATAAATCTAGCTATGATCACATCAATGATGCTTCATCTTTTCAACTGGGAAAAGTTTGTATGAAGGAAAAGAATTTTAATCAACATCTTGTTGTTACACCTCACAAAATTTCATTAGACATGCGATAATAATACCAAATAATAAATAACGGTGCTTGCTTCTTGTTATGTATTTGTTGTTGTGATGAGTTGGTGTTTCATATGCTAATTGTCAAATAACAAGTGTGCATTTTTATAAGAGTGAAATATATTTATATCCAAGAGCGTAACTGTGAATGACCAATGTACAATAGCAGATTGGATATTGTAGTTGATCATTGTACCAATGTACAAATGAACAATTAACAAGCCAACCATTGATATTCAATATTCACATGTAAATGACCATTGTGTTCAACAAACTTACAATATCAAATCGTTACTTTTGGTTGGTTGGTTATTGAGTCACTGACATGCGAATGGTCAATGTACTTCATACAAAAATACAAATGTGCATTGTCAACAACCACATGTTATCTTGTTAGATGTGGGTTTTTGTTGTTGATATCTAATAATTAGCATCATGATGTTTAATATTTGACATTCACATTTGAATGACTATGCGTGTATAATGAATTTATAATATCCAATGATTTCTTGATGCACACAGTAATTATTCATATGTGAATCACGAATGTAAAGTTAAAACTTTTAGGAAATGCATATATAAAACTATATCTATATTAATATTTTTTTGTAGAGAATAAACCATAAACTTTGATACATTTCATCTTTAGGATGGAAATGGACGTAAAATATTGTAATAAATACACAAACGCAAAAGACAAGTATAGGAGGACTTAGGCTACCTTAGTAATAAATCATTAAATCTCCACACCACCATCTTATATGAGGTCATGTCTTTGAAAATGGTCATCTGATTCGTGTCAGACTATCATCATTTACATGTATCAAAATTCAAAACAAAGAATTTAAAATAATTCTATAAACATTAAATCATTGTAATTCAAGTAGAATGGATAAATACAAAATTACCTTTATTGTAAAAACATGCATTAGACCATGATATTTTTTATTTAATTTATCACGAGTTAAGATTGGTTGTCACCGTTGTCAATTCATGAATGATAAATGCATTTTCTTGTAGCCAAAGTTGCTCAATGGACAGATTAAACATAGTTTGAAACTTGAAAAATATAAAATATGAATTTAAAAAGAGTTAGAAATTTAAAATTTTTGCCTTATGGACAAAAAAGGAAAATAAACACATTTAAAAATGTATTTATATAAAAGGCTAAGTTTATTATCTGCAAATGCAATTTGATAAAGAAAAATGAATATTTGATACACGGTTTGCTAAAAAAAACGAAACTAAAATAAAATACCAACAAATCTACTATGTCGTTTATGACTTTTATGGTCACTATTTGTTTAAATTTAACCATATTGTCTGTATATTCTAGACAGTGATGTGATTTATTGCTCGTAATTTTTTTATTATTATTTATGATACGTAGGACAATTTATTGTGAATATTTTACTAAAAATATGAAATTACTATATCTAAGTAAAAGTTTTAAAAGGATATTCACGAAAACAACCACATAATTATCGAGCATTTAAGATAATAATCTAACTTCTTGGAAGTTACTAAAATGACCATGGACTCCAAAATGAGACCATTTCAGATTATGAATGTATATAACTTGTAGTTTTCTTTCACTTGCACCAAACACTTGTATAAAACAGTCTCTTTTGCCCGTACATCTAAACTATATGAGATTTTCATATACCATTGCATCATAACTTACTTCGAGTTTTATAAATTTATTTTTTATTCTTGGATTCCAATCGTTACTTCATAATGTTTTTTAAAATTTTCTTCAATAAATATTACATATGTTTATTTGTATGTAATATTTCATGAGGATGACCCAAAAAATGATTTTGAAGCATTATTCATGTGTTTTGGAACATCAGATCCCGGATATATTATTCAGGTTTCAAAATTTAAATTATTTATTTTTTTTTTTTTATTTAAGACTTTTCATATTAGGGTCTCATAAAGTGGATTTGAAATGTACGCAAAATACAAAGGGATTTCGAAATGAACTTTATTGAAATGTCATAAAACTCTTCATGTCAAATCTCATTTTATAAGACATTTTAAAAAGAAATTGAAATAACTCCAAATAATGGTTATTTTGGTAGAAAAGGTAGCGTATTAACTCAATTGCTCAATAATTATTTGGTTATTTTGTGAATATCTTTGTTTGAAAATATACTACTATAATAGGAAAATTAAAATCTATTATAATCAAGGGATAATGACTTGAAATGGTAACGAACTTTCACCTTTGTTCACAGTTAGTCACTAAACTTTTTTTGTGCTTGATTTACCCCTGAATTATTTGAAACTGTTCATATTTTACCCTTATGACTGATTACAACCGGTCATAAGGGTAAAATGTGAACAATTTCAAATAATTTAGAGGTAAATCAAGCACGAAAAAAGTTCAATGATTAAATGTGAACAAAAATGAAAGTTTATTACCCAAGAACTTATAGCCTTTAAATAAGGCTCAAAACCCTAGGTTTAGGGTTTTGGTCCGGCACGGCTATGCTCGATGTAACCTAACCTATGTTTAACGTATGTCATTAAACCCCCCGTCCAATATTTCCTTTCATACGCTCGACGTAGGGGAATATCCTACGCTCAACGTATGACATAATGTAACATCCAAATTTTCAAAACACTTTTTCACATTTTATAAAACACATTTTCTTTCATAATCGTTATAAAAACACCATTGTATCACATAGTCAATCATAACATCATATCCCAAGATCATAATAAAAATCTCCCCGTGTGTGTACTGATCAAGCCGACGCCTTCCCGCGATCCTCGCTGGTACCTGAGACACATAACACAACACTGTAAGCATAAATGCTTAGTGAGTTCCCCAAAATACCACACACAACACATATTAGCCACTCGAGGCTATAACTCTGATAACCCTCTGGTCAAGGTGTCTCTGTGGGACCCTCCAGTCCCATAACTCTGTGGGCCCTCTGGCCCTAACTCTGTGGACCCTCTGGCCCTAACTCTGTGGGCCCTCTGGCCCTAACTCTGAAAACTCTGTAACATACATAGCATATAACACATAGAAATCACATCATGCAAAAGCATACAGCATACTCTGTCTCATAGCTCTAATTACCACTCTAGGTAAAGTATAGTGAGAAGACTCACCTCGGGTAACTCGGTAAAGCTCGAACTCTGTAAAATCAGGTCTAGCCTCCGCCTAATCATGTAAAATAAATACTCTCAATCAATACATCTCTCAAGGCTAGACTATTCCTCCTCTTAGTACTCTCAGAAGGGTAAAAGACCATTTTACCCCTCCCATGGCTCAAAGGCCCTAAAGTTGACCAAACCCTAAAAGTCAACAAAAGTCAACCCTCCGGGTTACGCTGCGCGTACCAAACACGTACGCTGGGCGTATTCGGCGTCCTCACAGAAACGGGGTGCGCGACCCCTTACGCTGCGCGTACTGAGATTACGCCCCGCGTAACTCTCAGTTTCAGTCCCTTAGCTCTTGAGGTCTTAATCAGTTAAGACTCTCGTCCAACTTTTAGATCTGACCGTTTCTAAGCCTCTTAATCCATAAAGTCGATAACTTTAAGCCTTTGCATGGCTGAACAAGTCACTAACACCCAAAATATACCACTTCTAGCCCTAGAAAGCTCAAAACTCTAGCATGTCCTCATATCAACGACCAAGATAGAAACTTTATGGATCTAAAACATAAATATCACTGAAAAGGGACAGATCTTGGACCATGGAGCACCTTACACTCATAAAGTCTCCACCTTTGGGACTTTTAACCCTAGAAATGGCCCATGCAACAACAAACCAAAAGAAGAGGAAAGCTTTGAACTTTATACCTCTAAAAGCAGCTCCTTCCTCTGTAGATCTCAGATCCAAACTTGCACTTCAAGCTCTAGCCTCCACAAGCTCCTCTCCTTCTTCTGAATTTCGGGATGTTACACATAATTTCCCAAATTCAAACTTAAGCATTAAAGAATTTCAAAGAATAATACTTGAAAAAATCGGATGTTACAATAATTCTTCAATTAAATACAAGTATTGATATTTATTAATAATCAAAATTACTCAAATAAATAATTAGTAGTAAATTGTTATAATGTATAACCCTATATGATCATATGTCATTAGTAAATATCATTTTATAATGATTATTGGATATAAACATATTGCAAACTATCTCGTACTTATATCTCTTGTTATAGCTTTGAAACAGATGTTTTGTATATAATGCACACAAGTAGTGTTGTTTTAACAACACTTCGTTGTAAATAGCATAATAATTTGTAATATGCATAAAGTACATGAATTAATGTAATATGTGGTCGGATGAAGGATGTCTCATTATAACCTATAAAATTGTAATCATAAATAAAAGAATAAAACATGGAATGAATAAAGAAACTCTAGTTAAATGTTTATCTCATGGATTAGGATTAAAGCCGGGAATTACAACATGGTTATGTGGTACACATTGTATTCTGTAATACTCCTTACAAACACAACAAAAATGGAACGTAGTGACTGAAATCAAAATCATTAATCTAAGTAATTGCTACCAATAGACAAACTTTTAATTTTGTTCACATTTAGTCATTGAATTTTTTTTTCGTGCTTGATTTATCCCTAAGTTATTTGAAATTGTTCACATTTTACCCTTATGACCGGTTGTAACGGGTGATAAGGGTAAAATATGAACAATTTCAAATAATTCAGTGATAAATCAAGTACGAAAAATAATTTAGTGACTAAATGTAAACATAGTTAAAAGTTAATTACCCTATAATCAATTCAATTTAAATAGGTAACAAAGACTCCACAGTCCACACTACCTATTTACTTTTTTTCAAATAACCCCTTTTATGACTCTATGAGCATTGCAAGAATTCGCGGTCTTCATTTGAGATTCAAATGAATCCTATGAAGTATGAACCGTTATAGGACGACATATAAATGGACTAGGGTTCAATCGCATCAAATTCTCTGAAAAATCTTGTAAAAATGGCGTCAGGTGGTTCCTCACGCTCCCGCGTTGATCAGGTTTGTCTTAATCGCTCTCCCCCAACCTCACTCCATCTTCTTTATGAAAATATTTTATGGCAGTGAACCACACCGACGACAATTAACATCCGCTGCAAACAGGTTATTTCCAAGAACAAATCTTTAGGATATTTTAAATTTCAAAAGCTAAAGAATTCATACCTTTGTAGGAGGCTGAACTTGTTTAATCCAATCTTGATAATATCAGCGATGATTATTTGTTTTTAGTTTTCCTTGCTCTTCCTTAGTGGATGGTGAAGCAATTTAAACTTTAACTTGAAGTTATCTTTGCAATGCAACATGAATCTCCAAACTGAAGCACACCAGTTCATATCAGCAGATGGGTATATAGACCACGGTTCTTTCCTGTTTTATAAAACCATAAAAAACGCTTGTTGTACAAACAGAATGCAACAGTTCTTAGTATTTAGACCAAATGAGGGTGGTATTTATAAGCATTTGCAGTATCAATTAGATTTTAATAAAAGTAAAAGAAAAATCCGGTTTCTTGGTAATTGGTATTTCTATTTTCCCAATCCCAAGATTTTGAAAGGTTTGGTATTCAGTTTAAAGATGCCCAGTTTCGTTGATTAACACTGAAGTGTGCAGTATGTTTAACTCTTTTTGTTCCACCTTATGAACACAGTTTTTTCTAATATACACATTCATACTATTGGTGGATGCTGTAAAATTTTCCATATCAATACAAGAAACATAACACACTTACACGTCCTGTTGGTGCATTTTCTTTTATAAATTATGTATATCGGGCTCTGAGTATGATTGAGAAGTATCTTATTTTATCTGTATGCTTTTCGATTTTCGTTTGTATGGGCATAGCAATACTAGAAAACTGGAAGAATACTCTTTGCTTTGTAATTCCAAACATCCAAATTTTGGCATATTTTGCTGACATGATTACTATGTGCAGTTCTTTTCTTCAAAGAAGAAGAATAAGCTTGTTTCACCTGCTTTAAAATCGGGAATAGTTGAACAAAATCCAAAACTCTCACTTGAAGGGTCTCCTAGTGCTAAAGGCTCTTTATCCAGCTATCTAGTGTCTTCACCAAAAAATGAAATTCGCCCTCATAGGACTTTACCCACAGCTTGTGGGTCATCTGATAGACAAGATCAAGTGAAAAGAAACCTCACATCAGAGATTGATTCATCTTCAAGAAATGAAGATGTGGAAACTATATCATCTAGCAAAGGGCATCAGTGTAAGCCTTCAGAATCTATGCATGAGGTGGAGAACCCTGAATTACAACAGTTTGCAGCTAATTTTTTGTCATTTTATTGTAGGTAAGTAAGTAAGTTACTTCTGGTGTATTCACACTCTTTAACTGTCAAAAGATCTATTATATAAATGTTTCTGTCTATTGGTTTTTCAATGAGTTTTATCATCAAGTGTTTCATTATAATCTTTTACTGATGCAGTGAACTTCCAACTACAAAAGGTAATACAAATAAAAGGCAGGGTAGTCCATGTATGCTAGATTTGGAAGATAAATCGATTAAGAAGAGGCATTTAAGTCATGAGGAGGATGAAACTGTTGGTTATAATGAGAATCAACCCAATCCAGTTCATCAATTTAGCTTGAGGAAATGCAATAGAACATCCATAGAATCTGTTGATGCGGATGTGGCATCATGCAATACACCAAACCTGGCAGAAGTCAAAGTTGGAGCTGAAAAAACTCCTCAGTCAATGCATGGAAGCTCCATCTTTTCACCAGGAGACACATTCTGGAGAGAGGCAATCCAGGTGGCTGATGGTATGTCATATCATAATAAAAAAGATCTTCCTGAACAAGGTGTTGAAGAATCCAAAGGACAGAATGGTAATTCTATGGACAAAGAGGTGTCCCCATTACCCGTGAAGCATTTTGATTTTTCTTCTGAAGACAAAAATATGGTTGTGGATACTTCAAACCATGGCATTGTAAAAAATATGGGCAGACTTGTTGAGTGTTGTATAGCTGATAAGAACCTAACAACAACCATGGATATGAGCACTACCCCTTGCAACCAAGTTCAATCTTTGTGTAAATTGCAAGAGACAACAACTTCGAGTTGTGTAATTACCAAAAGGAGAGCTGAAGTATCGAATCAACCTAATGATGACAAAACATCTGATACGCCATCTACAGACATCAAAACTTGTAATGTAAAATTTCTTAACCGTGTAGAAAGTACCCCATCAAGTTCCATGCCTCCCAATGATCGTTTGGATATTAGCAATTGGCTCCCTTCTGAGTTATGCATAACATATAAGAAGCGAGGAATATCAAAACTGTATCCATGGCAGGTAGTACTTCTCTAGTTATTTTGACTATCTATATGGTTTTTCTAGTTTCTTTTACTTTTAAATCGATGTTTAATTGAGTTTTTGTTTTCCAGGTGGACTGCCTTCAGGTGGATGGGGTGTTACAAAAAAGGAACCTTGTGTATTGTGCATCTACAAGGTACTAATCTTAAGATTTGTGCTGAATCTTTTCTACTTAATCACTTTTTCATAACCATTTGTCTTTTCTGGCATAGTGCTGGGAAAAGTTTTGTTGCAGAAATCTTGATGTTACGTAGAGTGCTGTCAACAAGAAAAGTGGCAATTCTTGTTCTTCCTTATGTCTCAATTTGTACAGAGAAGGTCCGAGTTTTTCTGCATCTTATTTTGTTCAGAATTTGTATTTATGTTCTTGAAGTTCATTATTTGTAAGTAAGTGATGCAGGCAGAACATCTTGAAGCCTTACTGGAACCACTTGACAAGCATGTTCGCAGTTACTATGGAAGCCAAGGTGGAGGAACGCTTCCTAAAGATACATCTGTTGCTGTTTGCACAATTGAGAAGGCAAACTCTCTGCTCAATAGATTGCTTGAAGAGGGGCGTTTGTCAGAAGTTGGGATCATAGTAATTGATGAACTTCACATGGTACTTTGAATTTGGTATCTTTGAACATTATGATGCAAAAAATATATTCTTTTAATCATGTTGTTTGGCAGGTTGGAGATCAGCACAGGGGGTATCTGTTGGAACTTATGTTAACAAAGCTTAGGTATGGAGCTGGTGAAGGCAGGGTGGAGTTTTCAAGTGGAGAAAGTTCAGGGTCAAGCAGTGGGAAAAGTGACCCCACTCATGGTCTTCAAATTGTTGGAATGAGTGCCACTTTACCTAATGTCAATGCAGTTGCTGATTGGCTTCAAGCAGCTTTATACCAGACAGATTTCCGACCTGTTCCACTTGAGGAGTATATCAAAGTTGGAAACTCAATTTATAACAAAAAGATGGAACTTGTTAGAACAATCCCAAAAAGAGCTGATCTTTGTGGTAAAGATCCTGATCATATTGTAGAGTTATGCAATGAGGTGCGATGTGTGAAATCTTTATTTTCTTTGAAGCTGAAAATTTTCATTTACTGAAATAATAACATTGCAATTTGCATATTGTATCAGGTTGTCCAAGAGGGTCATTCAGTGTTGATCTTTTGTTCAAGTCGTAAAGGATGTGAATCAACTGCTAGGCATGTTGCAAAGTATCTTAAGCAATTCTCTGTGAATACCCTTAATGGTGAAAATGAATATCCTGATATTGCTTCTGCCATTGATGCATTGCAAAAATCTCCAGCAGGATTAGATCCTGTATTATCTGAAACACTTTCTTCAGGTGTTGCCTATCACCATGCTGGTCTTACAGTATGTATACTATCACTATCATTCCCCTTTTACTTTTCATTCAGCAATTGTCAGTTTCATACTTCAATACAAGTTGAATTTTGAGATGTTTCCCATTATCACATAGGTTGAAGAAAGAGAAATTGTTGAAAACTGCTATCGTAAAGGTTTAGTACGTGTGTTAACTGCCACATCAACATTAGCAGCTGGAGTGAATCTTCCTGCAAGAAGAGTTATCTTCAGACAACCTCGTATTGGTCGTGATTTTTTAGATGGGACAAGATACAGACAAATGTCTGGGCGGGCGGGTCGCACCGGAATTGATACAAAAGGAGAGAGTGTATGTATATTCTTGTTTTGGTTTTGTATGTAGGATGGAATCTTTTTCATACCAAATTAGTTTATGATAAATTACTTGAGTGTTTGTGAATGTGAACATAGGTGCTAATATGCAAGCCTGAGGAAGTGAAAAGAATTGTGGCACTCGTTGGTGATTCATGTCCACCATTGCATTCTTGTTTGTCAGAAGATAAGAATGGAATGACACATGCAATCTTAGAAGTTGTTGCTGGTGGAATTGTTCAAACTGCTAATGATATCCATCGATATGTTAGATGCACTCTTCTGAATTCAACACAACCATTTGAAGATGTTGTAAAATCAGCAAAAGATTCTCTCATGTGGCTGTGTCATAGGAAGTTTCTTGAGTGGAGTGAAGATACCAAGTTATATAGTACCACACCTCTTGGCCATGCTTGTTTTGGAAGCTCTCTTTGTCCTGAGGAGTCACTTGTAAGTCTTTTGACATTTTATTTCTTTTTATTTAATTCTTAACTTATGTTTAATGGTAGCTATATAGATCCTTGGATTTTCTTTCTCTTTCTAATACTTTAAATACATTGTTTGTAGATTGTGCTGGATGACCTTTCAAGGGCGAGAGAAGGATTTGTTCTTGCATCAGATTTGCACTTGGTTTACCTGGTAACACCAACTAATGTTGATGTTGAGCCAGATTGGGAATTATACTATGAAAGATTTATGCAATTACCTGCACTAGATCAAGTAAGCTTACTTCCAATTCAACAATAATTGAAAGTAATAGTTTGTGATGTATGTTTAAGTCTATTTATACTTGCACATTTACAAGCATTCAGTATCAATGCTTTAAAGTTCATGATTTCTAAATGTGTTTGTGGGTTTCATTTTATGAGATTGATCAATACGAGGTTTCATTACACTTGAACTCTTTCTTTTTCCATTGATGAATTGCAGTCTGTTGGAAATCGTGTTGGAGTGAAAGAACCGTTTTTGATGCGAATGGCTCATGGAGCTCCAACTCGCACTTCAGATAGATCAAGGCGTGATATAAAAGGACTTGGTGTTTCAACCAATAACACCCTTACAGATGATCAAATGCTTCGTGTCTCTAAGAGATTCTATGTTGCACTCATCCTTTCAAGACTTGTACAGGTTGCTAATGCTAATCATCTTCTCAACACAATCTCCAGTCTGTTTCTTTAATACTCATCTTTTTTGCACTGTTTGTGGATGAATATGAAGGAAGCACCTGTGACAGAGGTTTGTGAAGCTTTTAAGGTGGCACGTGGAATGGTTCAATCTTTACAAGAAAATGCTGGAAGGTTTGCATCCATGGTTTCAGTTTTTTGTGAAAGACTCGGTTGGCATGATCTTGAGTCACTGGTTTCCAAGTTCCAAAACCGTGTTTCATTTGGTGTAAGAGCTGAGATTGCTGAGCTTACCACCATTCCATTTGTCAAGGTTTGTTTTAGATTTCTATTAGTTTTCTAAGTTTGATTTGAAATTAACCTTTTTACATTCATGATTGTATGAATGTTTGTAGGGTTGTAGAGCTAGGGCACTTTACAAAGCTGGCTTGCGTACTACCCAAGCAATTGCTGAAGCGTCCATTCCCGAAATTGCAAAAGCAGTTTTTGAATCTTCATCATGGGATGCACAAGGTAAAGTTTGCAATGTGAATGTACTACTAACAAGTTAAAGTTATCATCTATGATCTATCTATACTTGTTTTTGTTTTCTGACAATACGTTATTGCATTTCCTGTTTAAAACAGATAATTCATTACAAAGACGTATTCAATTGGGAGTTGCTAAAAAGATAAAGAATGGTGCACGAAAGATTATCCTGGAAAAAGCTGAAGAAGCAAGGGATGCTGCCTTTTCAGCTTTTAAAGCTCTTGGAGTTGATGTTCCTCACTTTTCTCTACCCAAATCAACAACACCTTCTGTTAAAGAAAGTGATTCCCAACATAATACCAAGTTAACAACCGAAGAAAAACCACCAGAAGAAAACTCAGATGATACCACCTTAAGTAAATCAAGTGCAAATGAAGTTATTTCTACTCAAAAAGAGCATGAGAGAGCAGATGTATGTGTTGGTAATAAAGAAAAAGGTCCCATGAGTGCTGTTAACATTCCTGGTGGATTTGATTCTTTCTTGGATATGTGGGACTCCACAAATGAATTCTTTTTTGACATTCACTTCACAAAAGGATCTGAATTCCACTCGATTGCTCCTTTTGAATTACTTGGATTCGCAATCTGCTGGGAAGATTCTCCTGTTTACTATATCAGTGTTCCCAAGGATTTATTTTCATCCAACACAAAGAGAAACAAAAACCCTAATAATATTTCATCTCCAGAAGATGAGCTTGAGATGGCAAAGCAAAGATGGAGTAGAGTTGGTATGATAATGGGAAAAACACAAGTCCGAAAATTCACATGGAATTTGAAAATTCAAAATCAGGTGTTGAAGTTACCCGCTGTTTCAGTTCAGAAATTTGGGAACATGATTCAGTCAAAAAAAAGTATGGAGCTCGTTAATGGAAGCCACTATATGTTCTCTCCAGTTCATGTAAAAGATGCTATCGACTTATGTGTTGTAGTCTGGATTCTTTGGCCCGATGAAGAAAGAAGTTCAAACCCTAATTTGGAAAAAGAAGTGAAAAAAAGGTTATCTAGTGACGTGGCAGCATCTGCAAATCAAAACGGTCGGTGGAAAAATCAGATGCGAAGAGCTGCACACAACGGTTGCTGTAAGCGCACAGCTCAAACACGAGCTTTGTCATCAGTTCTCTTGAAGTTACTAACATCCGAGAAGCTTCTAGAACCATTAGTAAGGATCGAGATGCCATTAGTGAATGTTCTTTCTGATATGGAAGTTTCCGGAATAGGTGTTGACATGGAGGGGTGTATACAATCGCGTCTTGTGATTGGTAAAAAACTGAGATCTCTTGAAAGCGAAGCTTATAAATTGGCGGGTACGAGGTTTTCTTTGTACACGTCAGCAGATATTGCAGATGTGTTGTACAACCGGTTAAAGCTGCCAGTTCGGGAAGGGTATAAAGGGAAACAACACCCCAGTACTGACAAACATTGTTTAGAATTATTAAGGTACATTTTTAAATTTTTTTTAGCGTAACAACTTATTAAATGAAGAGATGATGATTGTTTGTTTGTTACTTTGTTTTTAAGGTTTGAGCATCCTATTGTTCCTGTTATTAAAGAACACCGGACATTAGCCAAGCTTTTAAACTGTACATTGGGTTCCATTTGTTCACTTTCTAAGTTATCTATGAAGACTCAAAGATATACACTTCATGGACATTGGCTCCAAACTTCAACAGCAACAGGAAGGTTATCCATGGAGGATCCCAATCTTCAGGTGCCTTAATATCTTCTCTTCTTCTTATTTTCTTCCTTTTTCTTTTTTGTTTTTCTTATAAATATTTCTTCTAGTGTGTCGAGCATATGGTTGAATTCAAGATAGATAGCAATGAAAAAGAAGGCGATGATTCAGACATGGAACTCTACAAAGTAAATCCTCGTGATTTCTTCATTCCAACTCAGGTCAATATTTATTTTGTTCTGTAGAAATTATTCAATACGTTAATGTATAAAATATAAATATATATTTTTTCATGCAGGAAAACTGGTTATTAGTAACTGCAGATTATTCTCAGATAGAACTGAGATTAATGGCTCATTTTTCTAAAGACCAATCACTGATTGATCTTCTGACAAAGCCTCTTGGTGATGTGTTCAACATGATCACTGCTAAATGGTCAGGAAAAGAAGAGTCTTTAGTGGGCCCCAAAGAGAGAGATCAAACGAAAAGATTGATTTATGGGATTTTATATGGTATGGGTGCAAATTCACTTGCTGAACAGCTGGAATGCAGTCCAGATGATGCTAGAGACAAAATTCAGAGTTTCAAAAGATCTTTTCCTGGTGTTGCTTCATGGCTTAAAGAAGCTGTTGCAATCTGCCATAAAAAGGGGTAAGATATAATCAATAATTAATAATTTGTTTATTGACTTAATAATTTAGCATATGTTATTGGTGTTTTCTTGTGTAGTTATGTGGAAACTTTGATGGGAAGGAAGCGGTTTTTGGCGAAAATTAAGTTTGGAAATAGTGAAGAAAAATCAAAAGCTCAGAGACAGGCTGTGAATTCCATTTGTCAGGTACAATATTTTAAAATATTTAATTTTCTCATTTTAGTAATTTATATTAATTCATAAACTGTTGGTGTTTTTGTAGGGATCTGCAGCTGATATAATAAAAGTTGCAATGATAAGTATACATGCTGTGATAGGTGAAGGTGAAGGTGTTGACAAGTCAACGCCTAGCAATAGCATCCAATTTGCTGAAAGATTCCATATGCTTAAGGGTCGTTGTAGAATCCTTCTACAGGTCAAATTCTAAGATTGTTATTCTTCATCATATTTTCATAAAAGTTAAAATTATTATATTGAAAGATGGCTGAAGGGTATGTTGGACATTTTGTAATCTTTAATGCTCTTCAGGTACATGATGAATTAATACTAGAAGCTGATCCATCTGTTGTGAATGAAGCTGGATTGCTGCTAAAGTTGAGCATGGAAAACGCTGCCTCACTTCTAGGTGGGTCCCATGAAACCCTAGATTACTTTTTTTTTGGTAAATATGTTAGTTTTCTTTTGATTAATGTGGTTGATGTTAATTTGTTTCAGTTCCATTGATGGTGAAATTGAAGTGTGGAAGAACATGGGGATCTTTAGAACCATTAACGGTTTGTTATATATGAGGAACTCAACATTTTTTTCCCCCCAAAAAATTAAGTTTTTTTTCACAGGACACCGCTTGTGGTCGCAAATTATGGACATGACAAGTTTATTTACAAGATTTTTTTTTTCAAATACCTTTTATTGTGAGAAAGATGGAGATCATGATCATGCTGCATGCAGAAAAGAATCAACCAATTGGGGTAGTGTAAGATAATGTAATTTGGGTGTAGGAAGTTGTTGTATAAGATAAACAATTAAAGAAACGATAATTAATGTAAGGGAATGTTGCCATTGTTGGTTTTTAAAAACTTTGGTGGGAAAGAAATATTAGAGCTTTGAATTTTTTTTTTTTTTTTTTAACATATGTAAGTAAGAACTCAAAAGACAATGCCATTTTGGTGTGAGCTACTAAAGTTCTAAGCTTATAAGACCTCAAATGAGCTCTTTTGGCATAATTTAAGTGTAATTTGAAAGGAGGACTTGAAATTTAGTCATGTAGGGCCTAAAAGAACTTTCTGAAATGGTCATATTTTGGTCATTGTCAACTAAACGTATAAAATATGTTCCAAGTTTTAGGGGTAAAATAGGTAAAACCATATTCATTGTTATTCACTATTATTCATAATAGTTTATGAAGACGAATTCGTAACATTAGAGCATTTAAAGTAGAAGCTTTTATTGATTAGTATATTTGGGTCATATAATTAAGCTCTTTAAAGGGCTATTTGATAAGGTATGGTTCGATAACCATTTAGAGGTTGGATTTGTATTGAATGCTGAATGGTTCCTCTAGGTCAATCAAACTGTAGTGAGATTTTTTCACAAAATGGTTTTTAACTTACTTGTCAATTGAAAAGCTCTATATATTGAGTTTTTTCATAATAAATTAATTATATAGGTTTTTCATTTTGTTACGAGTCTTATACCTTTTGTGAAAAAACTTTACTATATATAGTGGAAGGTAATTTGAGGCTTTTGGGTTATTGAATTGGTGCTATGCGGCAAGAATTTTTATGGATGCTCTTAGGAGACTTCTATTTTAACTCACTTCAACCACATCTATATCATCGTTGTGTTAGAGATTTTATGATTTACAGGTTACAATTAGATAATATAATGTACCCATCTAACCAAATCCTGATATTATTATATAATTAATTTTGTAATGAAATATTAATTTTTAGGCATTTCTGTTTTCTACACGAAAAGTTTTCCTCCTAGGATATGATTATATATAGCATTTTTTGCGATGGAGCTTATGCAACTGTTTCGTGAACAATTTTCACGAGGAAAAATTGTCCTCATAAACAAATTAACCATTTTGTGATGAAATTTTTGGTTATAATTATTGCCTACGTACCCAATTATAATTAATTAATTGATCATCTTCAATTCCTGTAAGTAAAAGTTTGAAATTAACCGAATCTATAATCTAACAAATTCAGAAATATGAATATAACTACACCGATCATCAAACATATAATACTCTTATTAATTTATATAACATTATAAACATCCATAAAACAAATACAAAGATATATATGTGATCATAAACAATCTCATAATGATAGTATACGTATCAATGGTATATGATCTAATGTAAATTACAAGCCCTAAAATACCAATCATACAAAAAGGGCATTATTCTATCTTTATATCACCGTATATGTCATGTCATCAGTAAGGTACCCAAACGACATGATCTTCAGGTAGGAAATGACAAACCGGAGTAGTCCCCGGTTTCACTTTCAAAACCCTAAACGCCAGATGCTTAGGGTTCCATTTTGCAGTGTCTGTATGACACACAGCAACTGCTTTACCTTTTGTATCATCTTCTCCGACCAAAGACACCACATACGCCTCCGTGGTGGTGGTTTTGTGACAATAGAAAACCGCATACGGGTAGCTCTGTTTGTGGCAAACCACCGCTCGAGTAGCAGGTGTCACTTTCTTCGCTCCTTCGATGGTGTACTTCAACGGAGTAGTACGTTTTTTATCAGAGTTTACCTCTGTTGATATCGCCTTAACGTTTTTCCCCAACTCCGTTGTGCTGAAGTCGACCATGGCCTCTAATGAAGTAGCACAGAGCTTCTTCTCACCTTCCATGGGATTTTGCTCACACTCGGTGATCGTCTTCTTCATTGATTCGGACTCTACGGTGTCAGGTTTGACGGCGAAACGGGTGTACAGCTCTGGGAGCTTTTCCGATGAAAAGGGTATCGTGTCTGCGACTTTACGAGGCAAGAAATTTGAAGATGGAGTGGTTGTTTTGGTGAAATGTAAGTTCATGGAGTTGCCTCGATGCAAATCCTTTTGGAGGAAGAAAAGAGCGACATTTGGATCGTCTTTTAGTTGATCATCGTTAGCAGCATACTTGTAGGAAAACGGTGACACGTGTACGTTTGTAGGCTTGCCTTTGTGGTGACAGCGAACGACTACACCTCCTTTTCCGACGTACACCTTCTCACAGTCCCCTTCTGGTTTTGATTTTGGTTCCGGTTTTGGTGCATGAACGGATACAGCACCACCTTTACCGACGCCGACGGTGGTGCCAGGGGCATGAACAGATACGCCGCCTTTTCCGACGCCGACATTTGTACCAGGGGCATGGACGGATACGCCGCCTTTTCCGACACCAACGTTTGTGCCAGGGGCATGGACAGATACGCCGCCTTTGCCAACGCCTACCTGGACATCGGTGCTCTTATCTTCCGATGATCATAGGGGGAAGAAGATAAGCAAAAATGCATGTTTTAGATATAATTTAAGCAAGAGAAAATGAAATATTTTATGTATGAACTGAATTACCAACCGTTGTTAAGGAGATCAGTGAAGGCTTTGGGCATAGGAGTGTTTGGCAACACAGATTTCCAGTATGTTTCAGGAGCCACAGCTGCATGGCTTACAACCATTGCCAACTGAACAAAATATATAAAAATGAAAATATTAATTAAATAAAATCAGATATAATTATATATGTATAGAACGTGTGCATGCGATGATATACTCGTACACTGCATGCATGCATGGTTGTACGTGTTTCAGAAACAAATTAAACAAGGTAACATAACAGAGTTGAATGAATACTCACAGAAAGAAAGGATAAGAAGTGGAGGAACTCCATTATATTAGTGAATGAAATGTGTTTAATGAGGAAGGAACTTTGGAAGAAGGGCAACGGGTGTTCGTGCATTTATAGAAGACGAGACTTTCTCAAAACATGATAAAAAATTTATATTTTATACATGTTTAATTATTTTGGTACGAGTTAGAAACGGATGAGTTTGAATCGGTTCTTTGTAAAAAACAGGATGGTTTAGAAAAATATATATTCGTAAAAATAGAGGTTCTTTGAGGCTTGTTCGTAAAAATGGGACAGTTTAAAAAATCTGTCCCACAATCTATCAACAACATGTAACAAATCTTACAAATGGAACCTTTCACTTTCTCAATCTAAAAGGGGAGAGGGTACGGATGGAAGCTTCCCTCACTTTTTGTGGGTCATACCATATTTTCCTCCATTTCCTTTCCCTCACCTATGGAAGGGTTTCCCTCAATATTTTTTTTAAATAAAATTAATTGATTTTTATGATTTATAATTTTTAAATTAAAAGTAACTTAAAATTTTAATTAAAAAGAAACACATTTCATTAATTAAAATAAAAATTACAATAAATCTAAAATTTAAAAAACTAGAAAATTAAAAAAAAAAACACAAACTAAAAATCAAACAAACCAACAACGACCTACGAAAAATATTTTTTCATAATTTTTCCCTCTTCTTCATCACGAGCTTGAGAGCCGGTCCCGAGAGATGATCAGTGTTTTCTATCAAAAACTTCATATCCTCCATTTCTTGTCTCTCCACCCGCTCCTTTTTCCTTGCTTCTTCTTTTTCTTTGTCGAACGCCAAACGTTCGGAGAAATTAAGATTATATCGATCAAACGACGCTGTTATTTTCCGCATTTCGTCAACGTCCATGCTGAAATCCGATGCACCCGAAGAAGTCCCTTTTCCCTTTCTCTTCGCTTTGTCCCTACCCATTGGGCGGACAATTTCTTCTAGCTCGAGTTCGTCATCCTGATTTAAATCTAGACCGACCCGAGCATCGGAGGAGGTTATGTAACCACTAGAGCCTGTTTTCGTTTGCTTTGATTGTTGGACTCCAAAAATAAATCTTGCTCGTATTTTTTCCACCTAGGACATCGGACCAATAATTTCCAACAATCGTGCCATTTGAATGGTTTTCCGACTTCCTCAAGGTAAAATTGCAAAGCTTCTTGAAGTATTTGTTTGTCGTCTTGGCCGCTTTTTCGTTGGGTTTTTAGGTTGTTGTACAACCCGTTTATTTTTGAAACCCCCTTTGCTATTTCTCGAAACTTCGAATTCAGTTGATGTTTCGTACGAAAGTCGTCACCTTTTTCTAGCTCCTCTCGAAACCTTTCTAAAATGCGAAACCAAAAATGGTCTCCCGGTTGTGCGTTTCCATGAATCGAATCTTTAGAAATGTCAGCCCAAGCTTTTACCAAAACTAACTCTTCGTGTGGAAGCCATGTTGTGGGCTTTTGTCTTCCCGGTTGTGCGACACCCTTGCGCACTTGTTGTTTTCCTTTGCGTCGTTGTGGGGGTGGTGTGGGTTAAGTTTCGGGAACCATCTCTTCTTCTTCCGAGTCATCCAACTCATCGACAAGTTGGAAATGTTGTTGGGTTTGGGTTTGAGTTTCAGTTTGGGTTTGGGGTTGGGGTTGGGTTTGGATTTGAGGTTGATTTGGCGATTATTGATTGGGAAAAACAACAAAGTGTGAAAACATTTGTGGCGTAACATTTGGAACTTGGATCGGGTAATATTGTCTAACATTTTGGTATTGAAATTGTAGTGAAGATTGAATGGGAGCATCGAGTTAGGGGCGATAAACTCATTGAGATGATGAATTGATAGCAAAAATGTTTGGAGTTGGGATGTTTAAACTCGAACCATGACTTCTTTTCCTTCGATCGGAAGTTGGGGTTTGTTCGTCGGGATTTTTTTTTTGAGAAGAAAATAGAGGGAATAGAGGTTTTTTTGAATGTTGATTGAAGGTAAATAGTTGGGTATTTATAGGTTGGGGTTTAAATGCATATACCCGTTAGTAAAAAAAAGGAAATTTTTTTTAATCGTTAAACAATGGCTAGTTCAAAGAAAAAAAATATATACGTGAATCATCGACGGAGAGAGAACGCGGGAGAGCCTCCCCTCACTGGTTCCCGCGCCACCCTTCCCCGCACTGACGGTGTGGTGTTCCGCCGGGCGGGAAGCTTCCCGCGGGTCTTCCCCGCATCCATTCTGTCCGGCCTAAGGCCGGATGGAGAACAAGAAACCGAACAGTGCGGGAAGCTGAGTTGGCAGGAAACCACACCCTGGACGTTGTTAAGCTGTTCCCCTTCCCCTTCCCCGCACTCTATCCCTTTTTCCGATTGGCCAATAGCTAAAAAATGATTTGTTTTCCAGTTTTTATAATATTTAATTAAAATTTATATTAAAATTTATGGATTCTAATTCTCTACAAAAAAACAATGTTTTAAAAACCGGTTTTTTATTTGAACCGGTACGGTGACTGGTTCTCGGTTTAGCCGATTCGACCGGTTTCTATAACTTTCCATATTTTTTCCTATTTTCCTACACGTACATAGACATCCACAAGTTTAAACATTAAAAATAAAATAAATACAAGTTATAGATCAATCCAAATAAATTAAAAAAAAAATATAACCATAAGTTTTACATCAATCCACATACATCAAAATGAAAATAAAGTATAATACGGAAGCAAAATATAGTTTTAGATGAATACAAATGCTTTGAAAATTTCATAACATTTACCGTTTGTTTTTATTTAAAGAAATCTAACTAGATGTTAAAAAAACACTAAAGTTTATTATGCAAAATAATTCATTTTCATGCGTTTTTATATAATTTAACCGGTTCAATTGGTTTAATTTAACTGGTTCAACCAAGTTTTTTTAAAACCAGCCGGTTCATTCCGGTTCAGAATTAGACATAAAACCGGTGCTAGTTGAACCGCTCCCTTCTCTGTAGAGGTGTTGATCGGGTAATTTTTTCGGGTTTCGGGTAATTCGGGTCGGGTAATTCGGGTTTTTCATGTTAAAAAAATTACCCGTTACCCGACCCAAATTAAATTCGGGTAATTCGGGTTTGGGTAATTCGGGTAGCGGGTTGGGTTTGGGTAATTCGGGTATTACCCGAAATATATAATTTTTTTTTGAATTGCACCTGAAAATAAATTTAATAAAATAAATACGTCGTGCTTTATTAGTCATGTTTGTATAAACAAACGAGACATAAATGAAGTTACTCAAGCTTTGAACATTGAGATTTTTTTAGTCAATAATACTTGAGATATCAAACAATTTTTTTAACAACTTAATCTAATCTAATAAGATGTTAAAGAAATAAATACTTAAAGATCTTAATTTTAAAGTTTAAAATGTTTAAGATAATTGTAGCAATAAGTTTTGCCATGTTCGGAAGTTTCGTTAAGATAATGAGTTTGTTAGTTGCAATAAAAAATATAATCTAGAAAACAGTTAAGTTTTAAAGAACATGGTGATATATAAACAATTGCTTTTAATATTGTTAGTGTCATTTTGTCATAATAAAAGAGATTCATGTTTTACAATAATGATAGTTAGTTTTAACGTGATCAAATACCTGCTACATACTACAAGCTCTATGAAAAAAAATTGGGTAATTCGGGTATACCCGAAACCCAACAAACGTACCCTTACCCGACCCGCAAAAAATCGGGTTACCCAATTACCCGAAAAAATTTACCCGATACCCGAAAAAATTGGGTGGGTAATTCGGGTATCGGGTATTTCGACAGGGCTACTTCTCTGGTTCGACCGGCCGGTTCAAACCGGTTTTTAAAACATTGACAAAAAGAGTATAATATTAGTAAAAATATGTTTAAAAGAAATACATGTTTCTCGATTTCCGGTATGTGATTCTTTTGTTGTTTTAATTTGTAAATTTGTCGTATTTGCGGCGCGGCAGTGGGGTTGGTTGCTACATGACCTTTTAATGAAGGTCACGACGTGACACCTTCTATATGCACGACGCGACCTTGTTGGGTTGAGAAATTCTAATTCTCTGTCTTTGGGCCCTATTTAAGGGCTCTAACCCTTAGGGTTTGCCCATTGTGAGAGTTTTGAGTGTATTTTCATTGTTGTGGTGAAGGAGGAGGAAGAAAGTGCTCATTCTTGGTGCAAGGATTGTTTCTACATTGAAGATCCATCATCCTCTTGTGTTTCTGGACTTGGGTAAGTGATAAAGCCTCCACCTTTATGTATTTTATCTTTCGTATTTGCTTATCTAATGGAGTTTGTTTCCTTTTTTATGGATGCTCTTGAAATTTGAGGAACTCCAAAGCTTGTTATGGCATTTTTAGGATGTTAGGCTTCTGACAAGGGAGAAAAACGATCATGCATAGGTTCTCTTGAGTCCATGCACAAGTTATGGCCTTTTTGAGAGATTAATGGACTTAGGTTTAAGATCTTGCATTATGGAGTTGTGTAAATGGATAAAGTTGGAAACTTTATCCATTAAGTCCTTTGAGAGATTCAAATATGAAGTTATGGGCCTTGATCTGAAAGGGTTAAGTGCTTAATGGAAAAATGGGACTCTCACTACTAGAAAAACTGCATTTAATGACACACAATGCGTGTCATAAAAGGGATAGATGACACCCAAATGCGTGTCAAGGAAGGCCCTGCCATAAAGGAAGACGACACGCATTTGCGTGTCATAACCTTACGACGTGCATTTACGACACACATTTACGACACACAATGCGTATCATTAAAGCCCATGTCATGAAGAAAGATGACACACATTTTGCATGTCATAATTTTAAATGTTTTAAATTTTTTTTATATAGATTTACTAATTTTCAAATTTAATCACATTTAATGTCTCATACTATAAAATAGAATATCATACAACAAAAGACAATCATTTCAAAATATATATTAGGTCAAATAATAATAATCATTCCAATGCTTAAATAAATGCAATACATTAACTATTTCCTCATATCTTATCAATTCCCCAAACAATACACTGTATCCAATTAAGACATGTATTCAGACCTATTTACCTAACACAAGTGCAACATTTGAAACAATCGACCCAA